GTTGTACATTCCCTTTAATGAAAATTGACGGGGAAAAAGTCATGGTGTTTTATTCTTCAAAAGTCCATTGCAAACACGGCTTCAACCAACCTCAGGCTCAGCAGGATGAAATCTGATCAAACCCCGAGTTCAGTTTCATTTACAAAATGTACTTTTCTGTAAACTTCTCCAAACTTTGGTTGGGACAGGACCAGGAATGCACACCCACGAAAAACTGGTCAGTCACAGGGCTGGTAACTCTCAAGCCTCGGGAATTTGATACTGGCTTCACCCGGGGCAATTTATGAGCCGAGATTCCATAATTTCATCAATTTTTTTTCCCAAGCACAATTTGATCACCTAGGGTATAAAAGGGTGGCTATTACAATCTGTTTGGATTTGATTTTTTCACTGCTATAGTAACAGGTTCCCATGCGGAAGATTTTTTGGAATTTCTGTGGGAAAGAAATTTGGTGGTTTGCTACAAGCCTTAAAAAAAATTTCACTTTCAATTTTCATCTCACTGGCTATTTTTCTAAAAATCGATTATAATCTGCCGCAATAAAGATGATATGACACTTCATTCTGGAATGTACTTTCATTTTTGTATTGAAGGAAAATAAACCCCACTTTAGATTGTATTTCACAACTCGAGAGGTGTCAACAGGTCTGCTTGTCAAATACAAGGTACTGCATACAACTTGTTAACCTACATGTACCGGGTACATGTATGATACCAGTACCTGCACAAAATACAATGTAATAACACTCGTCTATAGATACATGTACATGTAGATAAAAAGTTACATGTATGACGAGTTACATGTATGCTGTACTTGGTGCACATGTAAATTTTACAACCAATTTTTTTCCACGTCATGCAATGAGCACATTCCTTCCTTGAAATCAAACACAGGTACATGTACATGTACAAGTACATGACAAGTTGACAACCATCCATAGCATGAACTGAATCAGAGACAAAAATCCTGACTTTTCTGACCCAGTGTCTTTCTGACAGGCCCAGTCCTTCCGATTTGAAAATCGCAGGCGTGTGGAAAAGGGCACATCTGGATTTTTCTAGGTGTGTGTTTTTTTTCTAGGTGTGTGGTTTTCTAGGTGTGTGATCTGTGGTCCAGGGAAATTCAGGCGTGCAATTATTCACACTTCTCGGGAAGCTTTTAGGTGTGCGATGGTGTGGGAGTGTGGTCGCAAGCCTCAAATCAGAAGGACTGCAGACCACAAGGGTACCAGACTAAATGGACATAAACCGACTTAAGAATGAACAAAAACTTACTTGGGTGGAATTTGAACCAGCACTACTTCCAGAATAAGAGACAGGTGCGCTACCGTACCAACTTGAAAGCGGTACTTTCCTCGCCTTCCACCGCTGTGACCCGGGTTCGAATCCCGCCTGGGCTAATATGTGGATTGGGTTTTAAGTCCCTGCCCGAGTCCGTGGGTACTCCCTAGAATATCATTCTGGGCTTTTCCTCCCACCACTAAAACTGTAATTTCCTTCCACATCTTCTACCAAGCAGTGGTGTGAGTGACCACTGATAAAAAATAGCTGAAAACAGCTGAAAAAGGTGTAAAAAAGCTGAATTTTGGAAATCTCCCATATATCATTGTACACAGCAAGTGAGGGAAAAAGCTGAAAAAAAAAATCTGAAATCCAAAACAAAAACAAAGCTGAAATCAGCTTTAAAGCTGAGATTTCACACCCCTGACTAAGGGACCCCACTGGAAATAAGTCGAAAGACTTTTGTGGGCTATCCCGGCCAATTGCCAAATAATCACAGCACATACATGTACATGTATACCGGTACGTACATGTACTTCATAGCATGTATGTACACGAATGCGTGTAGACAGTCTCCTATTTTTCACCTTTGAATAATACCACCTCCAGGACAAACATATTGACAAATTAAGAGATTGCCAACAAACATACTGTAGGTTTTACAAAATACAACTTCTGTTTCCAAACAGAATCCAGAGGCAAGAGGTTCAAATCATGGGGATTTTTTTTTTCCGACAGCAAAATCAAATCTCTCGCAAACCATGTATCAGCTCGGATGGATTTTTTGTATAACAAAACTACACTGTAACACCATGTTCAACTACTAGACGAGAAGCAGACCTCATGTAAAAAGTCAAATCAATTTTTTTCTCACCATGAATGAGATTATAAACGACCTTTCCGTCATGAAATTCACCTCCCAAAGAGCAGATAAAAACCATGGACGTTGAAAAACAAAATCCTATCAGATCCCTGTCATCCTTGTACAGATGCTTAACGCTTGGACATGATTCAGACACGATCACACTTGGCTCAACATAGTCAACAATAGTTGGTTGATTCTTTTCGACCTTTTGTTTCTAAAACCAAGAAAAACAGATCTTCAAGTGCTCTCTTCATTCAACAAATCACACATTTTTCAAGTGTTCTCCTCTTTTTTGACCTATTCGGAGTCACTTACATATTGTCAACCAAAGACAAATGCCAGAACTGATCCCAAAAGATAAAAATCCAATTCCATTAAACTTTACAACCCAAAGTCCCACGGAATACTGCCTTCTTGATGTTGACCATTGAGTTTGAAACTGACCCCTGACAGCGAATAGCTGAGATAACACGACAGATGCACAGTAAAGGGGCACGGATTATGATTACGATTCCCAGCTAACAGCAGGCAAATTCTTGAGGCGTTCTCATGCTGAGAGTTTTTTTCTCCGCTCCACGCTGGACACTTGGCTGGACAACAACACGATTACGGGGGAGTTCGGTAAATGGTCACATAATCCTGGCACACATTAAATTGGCTGTTCGGTCGATAAGAAAGTTGTCCACGGTGACTTGGTTGTTGTCATTTGTAATACACACTGACAATGCATGCACAGGATGAGAGCAGTTCTGGGAACTTCTATTCAGCAAAAGAATTCCTGTTTTTAAGGAATTGCCGCTGGTAATAAACAACCTGATAAAGTATTAAAAGCATTATAGATTGATTGTTATGATCCGTTACACTTCTGGGAACCTTTTTTTTTCATATTGGCAACTTCTGGGAAACGAATATCAGAGAAATCATAGAAATCCCAGGCTCACAGCCAAGGAAAAACAATTAGATATGTATATTGTTAGGACAATTTCCTGTAAACCTGAAAAAGGTGAAAAATCCCCGCCAATATTATTCTCCTTCATAAAGGTACGGTAGGGTAGGTCATTTGTAGTATGTGCATTTTTTGTTCGTTTGAAGCAACAAGAGCTCTCAAAATCTTAAGACGGGTGCTTAACAACTAACCTGATGAAGTTTTAGCTCAGTGAATGCTGTACATGTATATTCTGAGAAAACAATATTCTAGGATCTCAATTTCAACTCAAAAGTTGCCGAGTCATTTTTGAATTGCTCCCGAAATCAGTATCTGGGACACGTTCTCATTCAGCCGATTGCAGCCACGCGATGCCACAAACTGAACCGACGAATAATATCAACCACGCGTGCATGTGTGTCACAGATTCACCGAATTACAAACCAACTACTAACAGAAATTTCCAAAAATGCGTCACTTGACGCATCATTCGAAATGGCCTTCTTTTACTGTTTTCTTCAAAATGACGGCATTCCAGAGGGAATAATGTCACAGGGAGTTTAGTGCCATTACTATCTGTAAACCAAGTGAGCTCTTCAACAATAAGTTTGTCAGTTACTTTTTGGATAGCTGCATATGATGTACATGTACTCTACCAGGTACAGGTACATGTACACGTAGATACCATTAATACTACTGGTAGCTCTATTTTTGGCAGTATTTAGCATCTTAGACTTACATGTAAGTGAATTTAAACATTGAGAGGAAACAGTTGTACCATGATAAGGCCAACTGGTACCGGTACACCGTGTATCCCTGCTTGCAATCAATGATACATTTTTCCAATTCGTGAAGCAGTGTGCACTTTACATGAGAACTATCCTCTGGCAAATTGGTACTGTGTCTTGGTGCGATTTTGGCCCTGGGCAATTCAACATACCACAAAACATTTCTTCAATCCAAGTTACTACCGTAATTCCAAGTGCAAATAAACTACAAATTTGGCCCCCGACTGTTCTCCTGCTGTTCCAACAAGACATACAATGCCCAACATTCGCTGGAATGTGTCAAGTTCCATCAAGCCTTTGAGACAGAAAATGTTCCACTTCAGAAATGGTGTCAACGGATGACTTATAATGTATGTGTGTGTTCTACATGTTCCTGGTTTTCTGATCAAAAGTCTTCAGCATGCTTTCTTTTGATGATGTTGTAAGTAAACATCTTGCTGATTCATACTTGTGGCATTTGATAAAAAGAGGTACATACATGTACTTCAACTTGTTTAGTTTCAATACTATCAAACTACACGGTAAAGTGTATCACCTTGTTGATTTAAAGCTACAGTCCATCATTTGCAGCTATCGAAAATGTAACTGACGACAGTCTGACGTAATTATTGTTGAAAAACATGCTTGGTTGAAAGATACCGGTAGCAAGGGGACTAAACTCCCTGTGAAATTACATTGTATTCTTTCTGGCAAGCTGTCATTTTGAAGAAAGCAATGAAAGAAGGCCAAGACGCACCGCTTGAAATTTCCGTAAGTAGTTGGGTTTTTTTATTTGGCGAAGCACGCGCGAGCGTTTGCACAACGCACATGCGGTTGCAATAATTCGTCGGATTGGTGTGCGACATCGCGTAGATGCAATCGGCTCAGTGAGCACGTGTCTTGGACGCTGAATTCAGGCCCAATTCAAAACATGATTCAGCAACTTTTGATTTGAAATCCCGATCCTAGAATGCTGTTTTTCTTGGAATATACAGCTGAAGCTGAGCTGAAACTTCTTCAGGTTAGTTGTTCAACACCCTTCTTTTAGGTTTTGAGCACTTTTGTTGCTTCAAACGAACAAAATGCACAAATTATCAATGATGGACCGTACCTTAAAAGTGAAGCTCTATTTGGAAAATTCATTACAGAAAGTTGACTTACTTGGCTGTTGATTCAGATCCAGCTCCCAGCTTGGCTGTCCATTGATGTCCATCTCCAAGTCTCCCCTGATGTTGCCGCTGATGCCAACATCACTGGCTGGCTTGGGTGTTCCCTCGGTGCTGCCTCCTGATCCCGTCCTTTGTTTTCCCTTGCTGGAGGACTTCCCAGGCTTCCATCTACCCTTCTTGGATCTCTTCCCACCTGGCTTCTTGGTGGATTTCCCTGCCGCCGGCAAGGTAGAGGAGGTAGCTTCCGGATGCACCTCTGGGTGCCTAGAGTCAGCGGCATGTCTGTCCAGGGACTTGGACCGCGGAGAGGGGAGCTTGAAATGAAGCTTGGGGAGGCCCAGGGAAGCTATGATGCCACTCTTTTTCTTTGGGAGCTCGCTGGCATTTGTCTGGGAATTGTGAGACGAAGTGGACTTAGCAGAGGCTTGGGATGAGGTGCTCTGCTTGCGCTGAGCGCTGGTGGCATCCACTGAGAGATTGACCTCTGGGGTTCCAGACTGAGGTGATGAGGTTATCTCCGGGTAACATTCCTCTGGAGAATTCACTGCCAATTCTGGCATCTCTGGCACGGACAGCTCAGCAACATCAGCTACTTCCCCATCAGTCTCATCTTCTGGCACCTTCTCTTCGATGTCACTGTGAGCTGACCCATCTTCACTAACGACCACGCCCAGCGACAGACCACCCTTGATATCCGATAATTTGTACTTGGGTGCATCCACCTGCACCCTAGAACACATCTCGTCTTCCCAGTTCAGGTCCACGGAACTGCTGGGATCCTCTTGGCTTTGCGTGCCGACATGGCACTCACAGTCATCCTTATCAGCATCTCCATTTGGATAAGCAGGGCTTACTTGAGCCCCGAAAGAGATATCAGCCAGACGGACGTCGAGATCATCCAGGCCTGATGGATTACAGTCCTGCTCAATTCCATTAACACTGCAATCAGCATTGCCGATTTTCATAATGAATTCTGGTGGAATTTCTTCAGCGTCAAAATCTAACTTAGCTCTTACATCATCTTTGACAATGTTGAAGGGTTCATCTTCTTTTCTTTCAAAGCCCCCCAATCTCAATTCCAGGTCTCCTCCTATGTCTACCTCAGGCTTCACAAAGGATGCCTGCAGGTCGCTTTCAAGAACTGGCTCTGGTACTGTTTCTTCCACTTCTTTGGCTGTATTGTTGAAAACTGGTTCACCAACTTTCTCCGCTTTATCAGCACCATCAGGAATTTCACATCCAGCAGCACATGCCTCGGTGCTGGGAGAGATGACCATCTTGGATTTCTTGGATGAGAATTTCTTTGTCGGAGAGTGCAATCCGCCAAACTTTGGCAGCGAGAAATGCAAGTGGGGGAGCTTGAATCTGTGCTTGGTCGGGGAATTCATCTGATCTGGCGACTTCGATTGCCCATCACTTACATCAGAAGCCTTGCTCTCTGCCTGCAGTGACAATTCACCTGTCTCGACTTGATTTTCCAAAGAAGCGTCTCCACTTCCTGCTGACAATGCAAGTCCAGTTGACAGATCAACGCCCACAACTTCACTATCCCCACAGTCCTTCACATTCAAATCATTGACAAAAATGTCTTCAGAGCTTCCCTTCTTGAGGGAATCTGCTTCTTCAACAACTCCACCAGCTTCAGGTAATTCAACTTCTACATTGGTATTACACGGTGTACCAACACTAAGGACAGCATCCACAGGCGAATGCAATATTTCTGCCTTTTCCACATCAACCTGGACATCACCCTCAATACCGCATGAGAGATCAGTCCCTGCATCGGCCAGACCATCAGGTGGAAAAGACTCTTCTGGTTCACCTGAAAACTCTGCCTCATCACTATCAACTGCTGGACAGGCTGGTTTGGTGACATCAACATCACATTTTACAGATGCTTCCACTTGTGTTTCTGGAAAATCTGCCTCAACATTTATATCTGCAGCATTGGTCCCTGGTTTCATATCAACATCAGACTGGAAATCACTAACTGACGGAATACTGATATCCATTCCCCAAGCTTGCAATTTGGCATCAACATCATTGGTTTCCAGATTGGTGGTCACTTCGGGCAAATCCCCTTCACCATCCAGACTCGGTACACTTTCGTCAGGATCTGAATCGCCCTCTACAAAAGCAGGCACTGCGATGAAGAGTCCATCAACTTGTGGTTTGCCGCAAGAAACATTAACACTGATGCTGCCTTCTTTGCTTGATGAGCCAGAGGGATTAGCTTCGGCCTCTGGTGCTTCTACCTCAGCAGTGTTCAGAGATGGCATCTGGACTTCAAGGACAGCTTTCTCTTGAGCAGATGACGGCATGGTTGCTTTTAGATCGCCCTCAACTGCGACTTCAGCCTCACAAGACTCAACAGTAGCAACATCAACCTTAATTCCAACGTTACCATCTAATGAAGGATTGCTCTCTGCGCTTGGGCACTCAATGTTGACCTCCTCAGGATTAGGCAAACTAACTTTATTGGCTGTTGGGGATTTGAGAGACTTCTTTACGCTGAACCTTGGTAACCGAAGATGCATGTTTGGGAGTGTAAACGATTTCTTCTTGGATCTCTTGAGTGCCAACTCTCGCCGAGAAACATCGGGAACCGAGGGAGCCTTGTTGTCGAGGACAAACTCTTCGTTGCAACCAGATGATCTCCTTCTGCTTATGTCCAATTCAGATGAGGCCTTTGATATACCGGGATTTTCTGCCTGGATTCCATCATCTGCCTCCCTCTCTTTATCAACATTGAAGCTGATTGTACCCTCGTCAACACTGGGACGATCATTCTTTGATGCAACGTTCAACTTACCGGAACGCCTTCCTCTTACTCTTAACCGTGGCAGGTGGAAATTGAAGCCTGAGAATAGACCCTTTGATTTAGTTTTCTGCTTCACGTCTGGTGATGTGATGGAGGGAACTTCCACATCAGGCTCTGCAGACCCTTCTTCATTCATGACAACTTGGACCCCTCCTCCTGGACTAGAATCAGATGAGAGGTCCTGGACGCTTGGTGAAATTTCAGGAATACTTGATGAGGGAACATCTACAGATAATGTGGAGTTAATGCTTTTTGGAAGCTCAGCCTCAACTGATACTTGAGCTGATTCAGGATCCGGTAGAGCTGTATTGATCTCTTCAAAACTGGGAGCCTTGGTACTCACCTCAACCTCAGCCACATCTGGAGAGGCTGAGTCAAGGATCTTGATATCTGCTGTAGTCTCATCTTCTTTCAAAGAAATCCCGGCAACAAAGATCTCCCCAGATGCTCCCTTAGTACTGCTTCCTGATGATGATGATGAAGATGTAGATGATGAGACACTCCTGTTGTCTGCATCCTCTGATACTTCCAGTTCACGGCTCAGACCAAATAAGATCTCATTGCTTCCATGCACCCCAGCAACTCCGTCTTGATCAACTTTGTCTTCACCTACTTCATCTTCCCAGGTCATCTGACATCCCACATCTACAGGAACAGATTCGGCAACATTGGTGAATGCTGGACCACTCATGCCTGCCTCAATGTGCACTCCAAAGCTATTTTCGCCCTCTACATTCAAAGCCTCCTCCTCCTCTCCATGATTCATCTCCAATCCTTCTGTCTCTCCTTCTTCGACCTTTTCATCTCCTTCCTTTTCTTCATCCCCTCCTTTTCCAAAATCTTCCCTCTCCTCTTTGTCCTCAAAAGCATTGATGGTATTGGTGAACTCACTCAGCATGTCCGGGGTGAACTGGACATCCCCAACAGAATCATCTGCCACCAGCTGGTTGCATTCGGCCAGGATCTTTTCGGCTGCCGTTAGCTCCCCATTGACCCCTCCTTGAGGTACATCTGGAGTCTCAACATCGGCCACTTCTTCATCTTCTCCCGTCTCCACAGACTTATTGGTGTAGATGAAATCAGCTGGGGAAGATACATGATGAGTGGGTGATGCGTGGACTTCTAGGCTGGCCGACATATGAATTTTTCCTGTACAAAATATTAAAAAACATAACAAAGATAAGCACATGATTATATGCAAGAAGGGGAACTACATGTACCGTAGGGTGAATTTGGAAGTGGTGAAAGACCTTGGATAAGTGCCCCCCCCCCCAAAAAAAAGAAAACCCACCTCCCCCAGCTCCACCCCTCATTAATTGGTTATCCTCACACTGTGATTTTTTTCCATGGACAAAAAATGACACCAGATGGCCCAATTAATGACCGTCAATGGACTTCCGGTAATAAGCCATCAACCTGCACACATTCAATCTAATATAGGAAAATCTCGGCAGACGAAAGTGAATCCGAATCAATGGGGCAAGCTAATTCACACTGATCAATGTTAATCAATATTCTTGATGCTTCATGTTTAGCATATCGATTTAATAAATCTTTGGTCTCGTATCACGTCTGATAAATACATGTACAGTACGGTAGGCTACATACGGTACATGTGCAGTTCATCTACATTGTACCAGTATATCATGTAAAAGTAAATTTTTGCTCAATATTGCAATGTTACTGAAAAAACAATTTCCGTGACTTGGAAGAAAAATAGTAGTTTCCTCAGCATATGGTATGGGGAAACCATACAAATTTTTCAGAAAACTGAAAAGCCAACATTATCTGATACCAGAATGACAATAAAACTGTTTCACAAATTTACAGACATTACAACAGCTCCCAACACTGTTGAACAACACAGTCATTCCTGTGAAAAAAAAATCTGGCTCCTTGATTTTTGGAACATACCGGGTACATGCAGGCCCTTTATTTTTACATACATTCAACCCAATTTTGACAAATTAACCAAAACATCTTTTCTCCCACAAGTGTAGTTTACACATAGACTATGAAACTTTAACTGAGTTACAATATAGCAAATAAACAGATAGGGTCCTTCGTTTAACTAAGGGAATAAATGTGTGCTTCGGAGGTTTTTATCACTCTGTTTAAGACCACTTAGAGTCTGGGTGCTGATAATTACCCGAGCCGGAGGCGAGGGTAATTATCAGCACCCAGACTCTAAGTGGTCTTTAATAAACAGAGTGATAAATACCGACGGAGCACATATTTATTCCCATTCATAAATACCTTTTCGGTAAGAAAAAATCATATAATTCGTTCAAAACATCCCGATTTTGTTCAACAAATTCACTTTATGCTTTTTGAAACATCCCTCTTGCAAAATAATGGAGTGTTCAGCTGGCGAGTAAGATGTAAACAACCCTTTTATGGAGATTGACGCGTGCGTATCATGTTCTGCGCGATGTCGCGCAGAACGCACCAGGCGCGTTGCGTTTTGAATTTAGAACTTTAAAATTCTGACTCCCTGGTAGTGTTGCGCATGCCTACGTGAGGATTGTGAACGTTCAAACAATGAAACGATAAGAGGCACTGGATTTTTAGGAGTCCACATTTTATTGTGACACTGGAAAAGTGTTTAAGACCAGCTAGCCATGTCTTTATCATCTGTTTAAGACCGGCCACGTGACGGGCTCTCGACCAACAGGAATGCGTAAACTGTCTTAGGTATTTATGAATTGTCAATTAAACAAACCTGTAAAATTAAAACGAAGGAAAACAGTACATTACAGTAATTACCCTATTTCTGCTGTTTCCAGTGGCTTCACTATTACACTCAAGATCCAATAGATCACTACACCACACAATGCAGTGGTTGAAAAGTTACATGGCTCATTACTAACTACAAGAAAGTTCAGGACTGAATGCGTGTTTTCCATCAAATCACTATCAGGAACCAATCCTTGGTCTGGCCCTGGAGTGTGGCCATATCCAACTTGGAGGTCAATTACAACAAATCTCTTGTTTACGTTGTATCAAATCACTTGTAAACAAACATTTATTATCCTGTGCTTGTAAACGGACCAGTGGCATGTTTTGACCACACAACAGATCAAATGTAAATTCCGACTGGGGGATTGGGAAACCATAGTACTGGCTGTGCACTGCATGCAATGTCAGTATTTATACGCTGTAATAATTCTGGTGTTGTTTTCATCTTCAGTGCATAGCTGGAGTAAAAAGGTGGTCGAGTCATGTACTTTAGTGGCTTGTTAGGATCATGTACCCAGTGGAACATTTTCAAAGGTCTATCTTTGGAGTCCATTGGTTTTGATGCCAGTGAAGGGAATGCACAACATGTCTTCTCATACCAAAGCAAACACATCAAAGATTGGCTGTTATTAGTGGTGGGAGAAATCAGAGATTTCAAAATCTGGTTACGTACTTATTTTCAGACTGACCATTTCACCAGAAGTTCCCATCCAGCTCACTGTCATGCCAACAAAAAGTGACAAGTACCGTAGGTGCCGCATGAAATGCCCTCCCAATGATAGTTTGCAGTATTCAATGACCACTAGGCCTTTTACATGGTCACCCACTAATCTGCAGTGTTGTGACTAACCCAAGACCCTGATCTACATAATTTATTTAACATGAACAAAGACGATGGATTAATATCAGGGAACAGAGAAAACTAGAGATCCATATATAACCAGGCTGTTCAAGATAAATAAAAAATCAAAGAGATATTGGGCAAAACTCATCTTTGTAATGACTAACTGATTTATATTAACTTTTGAAGCAATAGCTAGTGCTTTTGCTGTGAAGCTCATCCAAATTATTACCAGTTTTTAACATCTGTGCTACATACTGTACGTACTGATAGTTGAACAAATAAGAACTCTTCACCATCTGAATGTGTAAACTTTGGCAAAATTTAAAGAAGAGTAAATTAGAATATGTAATTTAACCATGAATTTGAAAGTGGTTGACCTACCTTCAAGTTTAAAGCCAGGAGCCATCTCATGAGCCTCATCATCCTCAGCATCAATGGTGTCATCTTCAGGAACGGGTGTCTTCTCAGCATCCTTCTGCAAATCATCCTCCAGTGCATCCTCTGCCTCTTCTCTTCCATCACTGGCAATCTCCTCGCTCTCACAACGGCTTTGCTCCTGCATGCTGGGAGGCATTGAAAAGGCCTCCGCATTGAAGCTTACAGAGACTTCCATCTCATGTTGTGATTCATTCTCCCGGGGTTGCTCTTGGTACTCAAACTCTTCTTCTACGGCATCCCCTCCTCTTCCTGAAACTTCATTGAGAGCTGCGCTTGTGTCTTCTTTCTCGGATCCAGAATCCTGCAGGTCATCAACCTCCTTATTCTCAGGAAAGTTATGTTCTTGCCCTGCATCTTCATTTTCATCATGAGACACTTCTCCTTCCTTCTCTTTCTCTGTAGATGCTAATGCTTCTTCTCTCCTTTCTGGATAGTCACCAGCCACTGATAGGTCAGCCGGGATATCTGCAGAAACATCCACATTAAGGTCAGTTTCTACGTTTGCTGAGTGGTGTTTCTCTTCAAGTGCCTCTGCTTCCGTTTTCTCAATTGGTCCTGAGTCTGCTTGTTTCGGCATTTCTTCTTCAGTAGATCCACTGCCTGCAGCTGTGGGAGAAACAGCAACAGCTTTCCTGGGGCTCTTCCTCTTCCAGGAGAACTTCTTGCTTGGGGAGCTGGACCTGTCGGAATCAGAGGACTGCTCGGGGGACTTTGCCGACCGATGATGCTTTTTGCCGAAGGACGGCAGGGGGACATTCAGGATGGGCACCCGCCGTTTTGATTTCTTCTTTGGCGACTGCTCGGGGGTGCCGGTGAGGCTCGGGCTGTCGGTGTCAAAGCTGGACTGGTTTGCGCTGGATGGGACGGAAGTCTCCGGTAGCGGTTCAGAGTCCACGACTTCGTCATCGGGAATCACGTCTGGCTTTTGCAGGGATGTGTCAGTCTTCACAGAGTCCCCGTCAACTTTGAACAGACTCTCCTCGGTGTCTCCCAACGACTTGGTGCTGGCCTCTGCGAGCACGCTACTGTCCTCCCCGCCTCCCAGAGTGCTGCTGTCGTCCTGTTTAGTTGTGGAGGAGTCCTCGCATCCACCTTCGGACATCTCGCTGCTGTACGGTTCCGTGCTTGAGCCCAGGCTGCTCTGCGGGAGGGTGTAGAAATCATCGCCAGACGCCAGAGAGGAATTCGGGATGGAGGATGGCTCATTGTCTGTGGGACCTGTTGGGAAAAAAAATGTCAAAATGAACAAATAAGGATGACCACAGTCAACAGAATTCTTAATTAATCAGCCTGGGAAAAAAAGTCTCATGTTAGATGTTTCAACAAATTCATTTTTTCAATAACTTATTCCCTCCAATACATGTACATTGTATCTAAAAAGGAAACATATTTTACATTATACAATTCCTTTACACTGTAGAATCATTCAAACTTGCAATAAAAATGCATCCTCAATTAAATTGTCCGGGTTTATTACTTCAGTGGAATTTTGATAACCTCAGTAAGTAAAAACAGACATGGGAAAATTGGTAAATACTTCTTATAAATGCAAGTTTTAAATCAAGTTAAATGATTATACACCTGTCAATGGTACCATTAAGATCATTCAAGGGAAAACCAACGGAATCAGGCAGGGACTGAAAACCCAATCCACATGTTGGCCCAGGCGGGATTCGAACCCGGGTCACAGCGGTGGAAGGCGAGGAAAGTATACCGCTACGCCAACCTGACTCCCCTAGTGTATATAAGCCAGAACTTAAGTTGTGAATGCCAATAAATTGGCAACTTTTCTTAACTGATTGAAAGCTTGGGCACCCTAGGTTTGACATGGTGACCCCTGATTTATCGCCCTGCAATCACACTAAGGTTTCCCCAAGAATGCGGGCGGGTCACATGCTAGGCAATAATGATTATGTGGTAATGTAGCTTGGCTGATAAATCTTGCTTCAAACGTAACCAATACCAAGGCTTTTTTTAGCCTGAGCAAAAAAGGACCAATTTGATGGAGCATAACTGTACAGGCATGCAACTGGGAAATCACAAAAAAAGAGGAAATTTAAATTTTTCCCAGACTTTGTACATTGTTTTTCAATTTTCAAATCAGCTGATCCGAGGAAAAGTTGCATGCCTGACTGTACCTACGGGAAAGCATAATTTACAGACAACATTCATGTGCTTAGCAAAAATCTGCTTCTAGGGACAGTCACAAGCACCAATGAAACAAGGTGATTTAAAAGTAATAACATTGGCTTTTGCTGTAATTTTCAGAAACGAACGGATTTGGGGCTTAGCATTTTCTAGCCAATATTGTTCCATTGGCCTGTTATTAAGTTTTGTGGTCATGGATGCCGCAGCCTGTACGATGTGGATTCATTTTTCGCCAAAAAACAGTATCTTCAGTTGTAAAGAGACCAAAGAAGTACGTACGTGTACATTTCACACAAATCCTTGCTAAATAATGCGACGTCGAAACATCATACTATGTTTGAAAGCATTGATTCTTCACAAAAACAACTTTTAAAATTTTAAACATGGCGTCACGCGTAAGATACACCGACTGCAGTCCCAATTTAAACGTGTCATATTTTGACACATTTAGATAAGACAGATCCAGGGGTTTAGATCGCACAAGGCATGATGGGAAACAACATGGGGCAACAAGATCGCACCCATGAAAACAAGGTTGTGGATGCCGGAAAAACCCAGACAAAATGCTGTTCTTGTAATATGGTTGCCTAATCCTACGTTTCAGAAGAAATGCGACAATTTACAGATGCCAGGGAATTGTGAGGTCAGGGAACCAGACTAGCTGGCTTATTGCCCACTCACGGGTATGTTACCGATTGTAAACAAACTGTGGATTAAAAATCTGCAGTTATGTTACAGTGCATGAACAGTATTAATAAACTACAAATGCACACCAAAACGTCTGTTTTAAAGGGAAAATACAACATTTGCAAACATCAAAAAATAAAACTATTACATCATTTTGAAATACCTTGCTGGACTGTTAGTGAATGACAGTGTAAAGCATCCTGTAAAATCATGGCACCTGGTATACTGTCATTTTCAAGAAAAGTGGTATTTTTGTATCAATTTCCAACGCTGGTCGGCCGACCAGCGTTGGAAAAAACTAGCTTTTTTTCAAATACTGGCCCCAATTGACCATCGCACTTGTTTGCAATCGATTACACACCTATGAACGGGTACAAGCCAGCTAGACTGGTTCCCTGACCTTACAATTCCCCAATGTATGTAAACTGCTCTGTTTCTTCGTATATGGAGTCAGGGAACCAGACTACAGGAAAATGATTGTTTTTCTTGGTTTTTATAGCATTTTCGAACCCAAAACCTCAAAAAAGTCAGTGTAACTATATTTGCTATATATTTCCAACCCCCCAATTCCATCCATTTCTGAAAATTACAGCAAAAGCAAATGATGTATATTCCCTTTAATGTACATGTAACATGTTCCAATTAAAATACCAGTAGTGTGACAGTTAGCCCATTGTCTGTGCCACACACATAAAGCTCAGCCTTGTTCAAATTCCAGTATTAAGGCAGCTGGATTTTTGGGACAAGCACAGTAAAAAAAAATCCGCTCAGAAATACAAACACCCGGCACAGGATCCGGAAGGGGTCAGGGGATCAGTGCTCCTCTGACCTTTGACCCCCCAGAAGACACAGGGAGAATGTCAGAGAGGTCTTTGGGGGCTCTCAACAGGTTCTCCAGATGTGGCGAGGTGCTAGGAATATGAGTGCAGGATCTAGTGTGTACCGGTACATGCATCGTTATGTGTGGAGATTGTTTTTTTTTTTAAATCTAAACTAAACTGTAATATTTAGTAATTAATCACTAACATGAACTTACTGAATTTCATTTTCAAGGACAACACGTTGTTTAAAATAAGTCACTTGAGTGAAGATCCAAGTGAAAAATATCAGTTTCCTTGATTTTCATCTCATAATAGTAGCATGCAGCTATATCTCCCCACTACTACTAGTAGTAGTAAAGATTTTTCAATGGAATCTCCCATTAAAACCTTGTCAGGAAATATTGGCAACAAAATCTCAACCGATTGTGATCATTACGCTGAACCAAATAAACCTCCCCGGCTCCCCATCCGCTTCCTTTTTTCCCAGTCGCCTCCTTTTAAATTTTTTTTTCTTCAAATATTTCAATATATTTTGCATATGTATGTACACTGTATGTATGTAACTATCCTTGTTTCCAACAAAATTGTAGCCATGTAAAAACTAGTTAAGGGTTATGGCTCCTTTGGACACAATTTTGTAATCAGCAAAATAGTCGAGAAAATTGAAGAATCCATCCGCCATCTTGGAAAATACGCCATCTTGAAAAAAAAAAAAAAAATCGTCCACCTCCTTCATTTTTTCAAAAAGGCAGGACAAGAAACTACATATTTTTTACCACTTTTTACTTTTGTTTTGAATGTTTATTCCAACCCAACCATATCCAGCTCTTTCCAAAAGCAATTTCACTTTCATTTTGTGGGTTCAAACTATTAAAATTCTTCTCTGATCACTATCAAAGGTTTGGCCACTGGGCAATTTGGCACAATATTGGTGCCAGGGTGTGATTACTTTCCAATTAGAGTCGTCAAGTATCCCACAACAGATTGGGTAACAGGTCCTTGCTTAGGGCTAAACATGTGCGGTTGTCATAGTCACACCCTGCTAAATTCCTGTAGACTTTTCTTTCTGTAGTTCATTTACAATGTATGTTGATGTCCTTGATTCTGGACTCTCAGCTCCTACAGCCTACAGGGTCCATGAAAAAGAGGATAATTTTTCAAAACTCAAAGAAGCTGCAAATTGTAAATCTACTACAAGTACCGGTACTAGCACTAAAGTAGCAGAAGTAGTTGCGAGATCAACATCGGGATTTCTTAAACTAAAAAGGGACACTGGGTCCTGGAACAGCCCAATTTGGCTACAAAACGTGCTTTGAACGAGATGATGTTAATAGGAAAGAACATTTAAAAGTAGGATATAAACATCCACACAACTATCCTTTCAAAACTGTGCGTTTTTGTGTTATTCCTGTATTATGCGTGCGAAAACGAATTTCGGGGTCCACTTTTGCGACCCCACGAATTCGAGCTGTTTTGATGCTAGTTGTGATTTCATTCGTAAAGTGTTCGCCTTTTGCGGATGTTGAAGAAACCATATTCTTTGCAGCGTGGTGATTGGTCACAGCTGTTCCTGAGACACACAACGTGTATATCGTACACTGAGAACAACACGAAAAACGTCGTACTCCGTCGTGTCCGATGTAAACAACCGGGTTTTTTTCGTCTTTTCTCGGGAACGGTAAGACATAAGGTTGGTTTCCTTTCAACCAGATGTTTGAAATAAGTAAACAATCCAAGTAAACAATCCAAGTAAACAATCCAAAACATAAAATTTTCAAGGATTTCAGGACCTACCGGTAGTGCCCCTTAAACATTAGGTTTGAATTCCACTACAAGGTGTTGATTTTGGATTGAAACAAACCTTTAAAATTAAGCCTTTCATATTTTTTTGGTGACACAGGCTAAAGAGAAACAACTGAAACATCCCCCTCCCCCATTTGCTCCATGCTTTGAGACAAATTTAACAGAAGACATAACAAAGTACTGCTCTGACCTTCTTGGATATTAGAGTGGGATACAAATTGTATGTACATGCCCTAGGCTGAATCAAATGCCCTGCCTCAATTTACATGATACGGAACAACAAACAGATAAGAACCAGACAAATGTGTGCCTCAAAACTTTCATGAGAATACTTTCCAAAAGATTTAACCATTTGCCTTTTTGTGATTCTCCAGAAATTATCTATGAGGAGAAACAAAGTTTTACATAGCAGCAATTGTGGTTGTTTGTTTTGTACACTATAGCAACGTACCAGTATTGATTTACCGGTACACTTTGCCAATATTACTGTACAATATTGTCTTTTTAAACATTTATAAAATCCATTTTTGTCTTCACTCTTTACGCAAGAATATTCCTCAGAAAATCTGGTTCTTGAACCCGTTGCAGAAAAAAAAACGTTCCTGCTCAGTATCACTGCTGAAAAAAAATTCTAAAAAATAAGTATCAGACCAATTTCAAAACTTGAATGTATCATTCCTATTACTGTTGGTTAAAACATACATGTATGGGAAGGGATTCCAAGTTTTCATTTTAATTTTGATCAGAACTTATTATTTTTTTCCTTACTGAGAGAACTAAATATGTTAATGTTATAAATGTAATCTGTCACCGATGACAAAAGCTAATCTAAATTCTGGAGGGGAAAATGACAAGCAGAAATCTGAATAGTTACCCGAGCGATCGTGGGAGGAATGCCCACACGTTTTCACAAAGCTGACGCAAAGTCCCATGGTCAAGATATGTCAACGCTACAGAGAAGAATATTCCACGACAAAGGTCCAAAAACTACAGCACTGGTGACATTATGATGATGACAACAGCCAAAAACTAACAAAAATTGTCTCAAAAATGCAAGAGAAATGGACAGCAGTTTGCAGATTTGTCTGAAGGCACAACAAAGGCGTTTGCAAATGTCCACCTCTACAAAACCTTTCTGTTATTTGCATTTTCTTCCAATTTATGGATTTGCATTTCAAGAGGGCTACTCAAGAGGGGGGCCAAACCAGGACTGATTACTTAAAATCAATGGAATGCGTCTTCAATCACACACGAAAGTGAAAAACTCTTCCCCGGGAGGTTAAACTCATTTTCAGTTGACATTTAAGGCACTTAAAACTGCTTTTAAAGGTAATATACCGGTACAATACCGGTACAATATTATTTTACTTTTGCTGTCATTTTCAGAAATGGACGGATTTAGGAGTTAGTATTTTATAGCAAATATTGTAACACTGACCTGTTTAAAGTTTTGTGTTCATAGATGATGCCCCCCCCCCCCCCCCCCGATCTCTATATAAGACTGGATAGCTAATAAAGAGCCGCACAATGAATGAATTTGACGCCATATTGGTGAGACCGGCTGGTGATCTACAAAGGACAAGTTGCCGTTTTTATAGACAGCATGATTTCTTTTGTAACGTCGCGGTTCACTTGACTTATATTTTGACCACCACCACTGACCAAGGTTAACTACAATTTTTCTAACGTCGTGGTTACTAAAATGCCGCAAATATCACTTTTTCGGCGTTTTGAAATAATAATCACTACGGAAATGTGTCCCTTTTAGAACATCATAATATGTGTACGTGACCAAAATGCGCGTCAACTGTTGATACAACGCGCGTGTATTTACGCGTAGAACGTTCGTATTATACGCAGCCATCTTCGTGAGACCGGGGGCGAATTGGTCAATATGCAAAGTCTACTGTGTAAATGTTGTATGCATATCCGCTATCCAGTCTTTATATAGAGATCAGTGCCCCCCCCCCCCAACAAAAATGCTTTTCTTGTAGTCTGGTTCCCTGACCCTACTACAGAGGAAACAGAGTAATTTATAGACATTGGGAAATTGTCAGGTCAGGGAACCAGACTAGCTCAGTAGCTGGCTCACACCGATTGCAAAACAAATGTGCACTAACTAAATTTGGTAAAATTGGGGCAGTATTTGAAAAAGTCAAGAGTTTTTTTTTTACCATCGTTGGAAATTGATACAAAAATTTCATTTTTCTTGAAAATAACTGCACGCCAGAAGCCATGATTTCAAAGGATGCTTGAGACTGTTATTCACTTACAGTCAAGTAAGGTACGGTATTTCATAATAATTTGGGTTGTTTTTTTTTTTATGTTTGCAAATGTTGTATGTATTACCTTTAAGGCACTGGCCGAGTTAAAAATATAATAAATTGAATTATTCATGGTCATTGGCACAAACTGGGTCCAATATCATTAGATCCCCCCCCCCCCCACCCTCACTCTAGAACCATTTAATGGGAGAAGTGAGAATAGGAATCACACACAACCTGTTAACTTCCCTTAGAATCCTGCACACCACCTTTTTGAAGGGACAGTCATTTGTTGAAACTATGAATGAAAACAAAGTCTGTTCAGGCTAACTTATCAATTATATTTTAATTCAGCTTCTGCATATGGAGGCTCCTACATGCTATTCAGCTTTTAAACTTGAATCAAGCTCGACTTTTGAAGTTAATGCCCACAACACAACCCAGCCCTGCAATTCCATCATCAATTTAAAGTCGAACTTTAAGTGCAACATCACTGCATGTTGTACACATGTATGAAACGTGTACCCATGCACAGACCAAGCGCCATTTCAGGCCAAGTCTACGTTCAGCTCAAGTATGAAACAAGCACAACACACAAACCTCTATTTTTTTAAGGAATCATTGCCACTAAATGCTAAAAAAATAGGAATTCAAAGACATCATATTCTTTGAAATATAGTTTGGATAAAACCAATAATTTGAAAAATCACTTCGGTACACACTGTTTTGTACGTCCCCTTCATTACACGTAAGTCAATATTTTATAAGATGGGCAAGTTTATTTTGGTTTTAATGCTATTTACTTCAAATAAAAGTTGACATTTGTGACAAAAATTTAAATAAACTTTATGACGAGTAAGCCCCTACCGCATGATAAAAGCAAACTTTACTCAAACTTCTTATACACATTAATTTATCTGATTATGTTCAGAACTGTGGAAAGTAGGGTTTGTTTTAAAACACAATAAAGGAAGAAAAACAAAAATATATTCCCAAGGAGGATTGGGGCCGGATTCTTGACAATCCAGACGAGCGTCTATATCCTATCAAGCTACCAAATCACCCAAGTTAACACATTTTGGCACAAGTATTGCAACAGTACTAATGAATATAGCCAGATTTAATACCTACCAGTGGCAATCTCCTCTGTGTCTCCATGCTCAGCCACTCCATCCTCTTCATTCTTCTCAGTAACCTTGGCAACCGCATCAATGTTGCCAGAAACCAGCTCCTCAGGTTCCGGTGTGGCCACGTGTCCCTGGTGCTTGCTTGTATCATCTTCGGCCCCTTCATCCATTTGATCATCTTGGTCTTCCACAGGACATCCCGCAACAGTATCATCAGTTGCTATGGCAACATTCCTGTTCTCATCTTGGCTTGATCCTGACATCTTCTCTGGATCTCCTTCCACTAAGTCGCTCTTGTCCTGTTCGAAGTCCGGGGTCTGGCAACCCTCCTCTATTTTTGCACCTTCGTTGTCGTGATCACCATTTGCCATGGCAACATCCCCATCCTCATCCTCCGCTTGCTTCCCGTGCTTGTCTCGTTTCTTGTTCTTCCTGGAATGTTTCTCTGGGGAGCTTTCTGGGCCACTGGAAGCCGAACCCTCTCTCCCTTTGGAGCCAATGTGCCCCCTCTTGCCAAACTTGGGCAGATGGAGCTGGACAGCCTGCAAGATGCCTCCCCTTTTCTTTGATTTCTGTTTCAAAGCTCCGACTTCTTCCTGTTCTTCATCTTGTGGAGATGAATTGTTCTCCGAGTGTTCCTGTTCGTTAATTTCAGATGCAGAGGTCTCAAGAACCTCCATGGTGAGGCCCGGTGCTTCAAGCCTTTCATCGACCCCATCAAGCTCTGAAGAAACATGACCTTTGTCCGAGTTTACATCATTACTTGCATCCTGGCATACAGGACTTCCGGGCTGTGACTGTGAGTCTTTATTGCGTGACTGGGTGCCATCATCAGCAAATTCAACACTGTTTCCATTTTTCAGCAAATCATCTCTTTCCACTTGCACATTTCCTGAGTTTTCTTCGCCGAGGTCAATCACAGCAACCTCTTGTTTGGTGTCATAGTCATTATCAGTTTTCTCATTTGCATTCGGATCGGCGATTTCCAGTGTTTGTCGCTCGCAGGGTGGTGGATCACCGGCGGCGGTGCACGGTGGTGGTTGTTGGGCCCGAAGTGGGCGGTACTTCCCGGGCGTGCCCGCGCTACAGTCACCCGCTGCCGAAAGGTCCGGAACAATATTCGAGTTGACTTCATATTTTATGCCTCCAGAGCCCGCCGACAAAGCGTTGATTTCAACGGTGGCCGACATATTCCTCGCTACGTTGTTAAATTCGGGATGTATCACATATGCTGGTCAAGTAGACACAGTAGAACATTGTAAAATGAACGTCAAAAATGTCGAAAAACTTGGTTCGTTTTCGAACTGTACACCAACCTTGAGTTTATCCAACACCACCGCGCGGTATATACGGTACGTACACATACACACAGACCACACGTGCGACAGTTCGGCGCAGCGCAGACAGATTGCGCATGCCAAATGCATGCACAACACTCCACTTCATTCAGTGTGCGAAGTCTGACAAGCATCAACTGCACGTGTGTATTTATAAAAAGTTTGGCGGTACAATTTGGCTGTTCCTTTTGCCAGTGTTACTCCTTGCTCTCGTGTATTGGCCGGCCGGGGTGCATAAGCTCTGGAACTTGTCACTTGGTGGTCGGTCGGTCGGTCTGTCCGTCTGTCTGTCCCCGAAAATTGATTGAGTTATTGATCAAATGCCATGCCGTCGTCATAAAATACACTCTTGCTAAAGGTTTTCGTTTCAATCGATTTTGTTCAATCGATATGCGCATGCACATTTATTTTGTCTGAGACCGAAATTGACCAAAATAAGCCCTATATATAACTTATAAGTTGCCCACAAAATATAACCAACAAATTATAATGTTCAGGAAAAAAGGAAACAAAATTAATGAAATACTTGACAAAAAATGTTTGTAAAATTCGGAAATATGTTTATGAACAGTTTGTAAATAGAGGTAATATTATGTGCAGTAATGTTGTACTCACGTGGTATTTATCACAAATTAATATAAATCTAGGTATACATCTGAAGTATGGGGTTCCAGATGTGCCATCGGCGTCGCATTTTTGGGCGTCGCATTTTCAAAGCTCTGGCAGGGCCATTTTGATAGATTTCATGCAAGACGTTCAGGCAAGACGTCCACAGCTTATTGTGCACTCGCACTTCACGATATGACCAGGAAACGGTCTACGTGAATTAATGTTACACGCCTCAGCACAGTTCTTCAAGAAATGACTCCTTGCTGTTTTCAATCAATATCACGTGAATCCACCCACTGTGAGCCAAAGCTAAATTTTCTTTTCAGAACCACACATCTTCACACAAGAGATTTCTACATGGTGTTACCGGAAACCTTCACTAGTTCATCGATACCAGCACCACGCAAAATTTCAAATCTTAAAAAGGTATTAGCTTGATGCGATGATTTTGGGCGATCCACACTTTTAATGTTCTTTACAAATACAGCTGAATGGGGCGAACTAGACAACTGAGAGAAAGGAGGGCAAGGAGAAAAGCCAACACCGGTACTATCTCAAGCATCGGATTTCCCTGCAGCACCCGTAACCGGGTCTGCGGATCCAGAATAGGTCTCTTTTCTCACGAGAAGATACACCGATGAGGACACCAGATGTCGACGGGGGACTCCATCATCATCACCATCATCATCATATTCATAATCATGGGCACACAGAAATGCAGAGGGCGCTATGTACCATCATCAGTGGTGGACCGATGCATCGCGATGGGAAGAACTTCCGATCGGATCGGAAAGAATTTACAAAAGGAGGCAAAGGATTGTTCATAAATGAAAATGGGAACACTGCCGGGGGGGGGGGGGATTAAAAAGAGTACAACTTGGGGGGGGGGGGATCTGTTCAATATAGTTGGAAAGTTACAGCCCGTAATTTAGCTTACCCCGGTACTGAATATAATACACGTAAGTATTAGTAATACACATATTTCTCTTTCTCGGTTAGTTGTGCTGTAAACTGCCCCACCAACTGCCTCTCTGTCTTTTGCGGGCTTATGTGGAAAATAACAATGCTTACATATACTTTGATGGAATTAATAGCACGTTACTTTAATTGAGAACACCTTATAAATGATTTCGTACAGTATTATGTGATTGGATTTAAGATAAAAAAAAATATTAAACATATATGAGGCTTTTTGGAAACCTCTATTGCATCTGATTCGGTAAATGATTTTTGTTGCGATGCAAAACGCGCACATTCGTTAACAGAAAAGAAAAGAACATGTAGATCATGTAAATTCATGAGGGCGCTCTTCAACATGGATGCCTCCATTACACTGGGCTGAAAACACTGGCGCAAAAAATACTGATCCTTTGTATTGAGGGGTTATTTCGGTTTTTAAATTGGGGAAGGTAGGTTTACAGATTCATTGCAATTAGTGGCGTTTGTGTAGTTACGAGATCCTTGTTTGTTTTGGTCCTTGCTCACCTTAGTCTCTTAGACTAGAGCGCTGTGGTAGCTCTTGAAATAATGTCATTATAATTATATTAATGAACTGTCGAAGTCGGAGCCGAACATGCCGATGTGAAGACGGCGAAGGTCCGTCATACCGCGCCGGTACTTCTCTCTCGGGGGATCTGATTAGTCCGAGGGGAAAAAAATCCGTACTGGGCCACCACTTTTTTCAATTAATTTTCAAGCGCCAAAAGTTGCATCCTTTGTGGTTATCCCTTCCACTTTCCCTCCTCTACTCTCACCCTCACCTTTCCTTTCTTCCTATTTAGTATTTATTCACTTCAGTCACTTGCTTCATCGAGATTTGAACCTCGGACTCTTGCTTGAAACACGATCGCTTTGCAATGATCAATCTTTGGGCGTATTTGAAGTATCCATGGAAATAAACCAAATAGGCCTTTTCATGAGAAATTATTATTCGTATTAAATGACGTATTGCACTATCATTGGCCGGCTCATGCGTTGTCATGGTTGTCGATGTCATGCGTATAACGTACAGATGTCTTCCAAACGCTTCAGTCAGTTTGACCGGCTGCCTCCAACTTAATTCTGAACGACGTGTGCGTCCAAAATGTGCTCTAAAAACAGGAAAGTGGTGATCCAGTATGGAATTTTTCCCCCTACATGTATTATGTCAATTACTTATTTTGTCATTTACAGTACCCAGCTGGAATGTTCTAATCCGGGAGGCAGGCGGCATGGCAACACCTCCGAGCACTTCCAGTGCTACCACGGCAACCCCTTCCGGCGGCAAATCGGACCAAGAGGAGCAAGAAGACAGCAAGACGAAGCTTCGTGAGATCGGCGACCAAGCTGTGTGGTCCCTGTCATCATGTAAGCCGGGGTTTGGGGTCAATCAACTCAGAGACGACTCAGTTGGTAAGATTCCTCTGTAATGCCCCCCTTCAAAAAAAAAAAGTTGTTTGTGTTTATTCTAGTAAGGGCTGTCCATTTTCAAATAATTCAGTATTCGCTCACTCGAAATGCCCTAACACCGACCCAACCCGCCTTGATAAACTTTCAAGGAAAACCAACTTGAAACCGAACCGAACCGATAAAACCCCCCAAATATCTGGCTTGGGCAACTGTGTCTGCTTTTTGTGCCTGAACTTACCTGCGTCACTTGAAAATCGTCGCGACGACGACGCGTCGTCTCTCAGTAACTGAATCGTACCGTACGGCATTCACAATGTGACCTACTTGGTGGACCTACATGTTATAGACCATGCGTGCTAGACCGCAAACCATTTTGGTCGTACCGGGCACAGTGACTCTGCAATAAATATTGCACCGTGTGAACTTCCTGTTTCGTTTTTTTTCTCAAAATGGCTTAACCGAAACCAACCCGACCCGACTGAAATGAACAAATTGACCCGACCCGACCTGACTGAAATGAACAAATTGACCCGACCCTACCCGAAGTCTGTTTCGGGTCGGGTCACTTTTGCACAACATTACCCTGAATGCCCCAGTGTTTAGTGAGATGGGATAGTATACAAATATTGAATGCTTCGAGTGGTGTAGTAAAACTAGCCTCCCGAGGTGATCCATGGACCATTCTATTTTCCCGAGGCGAAGCCAAGGGAAAATAGAATGGTCCATGGATCACCGAGGGAGGCTAGTTTTACTTCACCACGACATAAAGCATTCAATATTTGTTTTATAACATTTCACCCACAGATTCTGCTTGATTTTAATATTTTAAATTATTTAAATCTGAACACAGTTGAAATAAACTTCAATTTCAATACAAAATTGGTGGAAAATGTATTTCTCTCTTAAAAACTACCCCTTCACGAAATGTTTGCAGCGCGCTCTCTTTGGAATAATACGCGCTACGCACAACACGCACACCAGCATGCATTTGCACACAAATACCACGCCGTGGAAATAGTACTTTGGTTGCTAATGGTATAGTACTTTGGTTGCTATGCGCATAGTACTTTTGGCCGTGCACAGAAAGATAGCAAAATTAGAAAGTAACATGTGACTCGCTCTCGGCCAATCAAGACACAGAATCTGTGAGTGAGGTGTTATAATCATGAAAATATATTGAATTTCAAATACACTTTATAGCGAACAATGAGTGAGAACTTTCCAAGTCGGTTTGTAAGTCAAAACAAAGGTAAAATAAAAGCGAATATTTTTTGCAAATAACGATTTTCTGTTTTTCCAATTTCAAGAAACTTACTGGCAGTCTGATGGCACGCAGCCCCACCTGGTCAACATCCAGTTCCGCCGCAAAACCACGGTCCACAGTGTGGCCATCTACGCCGACTACAAATCGGACGAGAGCTACACGCCCAACAAGATCTCCGTCCGCATCGGCAACAACTTCCATGACCTGCAGGAGATTGAGCTCCTGGAGCTGGGCCAGCCCAACGGCTGGATCCGGATACCGCTGACGGATGCCCAGGGCAGGCCCGTCCGGACGTTCATGATACAGATCGCGGCGCTGTCCAACCACCAGAACGGCCGCGACACGCACATGCGGCAGATCAAAGTTTACGCGCCTACCCAGGAGAACGTGTTCCATCACATGCCCAACTTTTCCACAGTGGAGTGTAGCATGTACAGCATTATCAGATGATAAGGAAAGGAGGGTACATTTCTCCCAAAGGACCAAACCGAGTCATTACATTTATGCTGAAGTTCTTCTTTCAGACGGTAGTCAGGTTGGTGTCGCGGTACTTTCCTCGCCTTCCACCACTGTGACCCGGGTTCGATTCCTGCCTGGCCATTATACGGATTGGGTTTTCAGTCCCTACCCGATTCTGTGGGTTTTCCTCAGAATATTCTTCTGGGGTTTTCCTCCCGTGTCTGAAACTATAATTTGTTCACATTGTCTTCTGTTTACTGGGTCCCATAGGAGACCAGCGGATTCCACTGAATGGGCTACCCAGTTAAAATAAGAATTAAATAAATAAATGAAATTTATACATATTTACACATCCTGGTTAACTTTGAGCAATTTACAAACCAGCTTTCCCCTGCAGTACAACCTGGGAAACACTTCATATCCATTTATAGACATATAAACCAAACGGTATTCATTTTGAACGAGGCAGCAACGACTACTTGTAGTTAGTTTTATTGGGGGGGGGGGGGGTTGCATGCTTATTTCAAGGTGGAGTAGACCATATGTAACTTGTGCATTTTGTTTTGTTTTGAAGTAACAAAAGTGCTTAAAAACCTAAAAGACGGATGAAATGTTAGCTCTGTGTATGCTGTACATTTCAAGAAATTGGAACAAACATGAACACAATATTCTGGATCTCGATTTCAATTCCAAAGTTACCGAGTCATTTTTTAAATTGCGCCCTCTTGTGTCACAATCCCGAAATCAGCAAACCAATTGCAAACCAACTACTAATAAGAACGCATGGGGGCGGATTCACGGAAAATTCCAAAAATGCATCACTGGACACATCTTTGGAAATGACCATCTTTTGATGTTTTCTTCAAAATGACAGCATGCCAGACATAATAATTTCACAGGGTGTTTAGTGCCATTACTATCTTTACACCAAGTAAGCTTTTTCACAATAATTTGGTCGGATATTTTTTGGATAACTGCAAATGGTCTCTACCTTTAAGTTAGAATTTTTCAGAAAATGAAACAACAAGCAGTGTCATGAAATTGGGACTTATAATGCTTCCTAGGTAAATAATAGGCTAGTTGACAAGACAGCATACATGTATGGATGAGGAATTTATTATGTAGGTACTTTCAGTAGCAAAATCCTAGAAAAGTTAATGTTTCATAATTATCCATAAATGACAAGATTCTTTGCCACTGCTGTAAGTAGACTAATATTTTTAGCTTTCCATAATTTACTTTTCCATAAATATTTAATATTGTTTAGCTTTCCATGTACTTTTCCATATAAACTCTCTGAACTGCATTAAATTTGAAATCAAGAATGAAGATCTCATACTTGTGCTACATTTACTTCATGGTACTTTTACAAACACAATTGTCACATAGAAAAATATAAACATTTACTGTACATACATGTAGAGTAAAAATATAGTCACTTATTGACCTAAGTAGACTTTCATCAAACCATTGAAATTTAATAAAATTCCCCACAAGAAACCAACAAATATATTATTTTTTATTTTAAATCCAATAGCATCTTGTAAAATTTGAACATGATAAATGACATACAGTTAATGTTAAACCTGCTCATGTTTTACTGAGCTACAAAGAATTTTACTTGCACATATAGTTTTGAACTCGATAATAAAATTTTACACTTAATAAAAAACAAAACAATGTTAGGCCCCCCCCCCAAAATAAGTCGGTCTCTGGTCAGCGCGCGCGTCGATTTTAATCATGCGCGTCAATCTTTTTTTTTCTTCCAAAATGTTCCGCGGTAGCTCCAACAGCGCCCTCTATTGCCGCACCTCAATTTTTTTTTTACCAAAGAGCACCAAGGAATGGGAAATTGCGCCAAGGCAAATGATCGAGAGCACCAAGGCAAATTATGGAGGACACCAATGTACATGAGGACACCAAATAGCAAAATAGTATCCCACCTTGTCTGTACAATCCAAGCTTTAAGAAAAAAAAAAGCCGCGTCGCCGCGTCAATTCCGGAACTTTGGTCTGACCAGAGACCGAATATTTTTTTTTGGACCTTAAATAGCCATTTTTTTTCCTATCATAAAGTTGGTATATACATGTACATGCTTTGTCAAAACTTCAATTTTCTTATTCCCAACAAATTTTGAAGGAACAGAATGCCCTGTAACAAATAAATTGGCTAGTTTGCATTTGCAGGCCTTCTATACAGTTTTAAAAAGTGGTTTTACACAGCCTGCTCAAGTTCAAAAAGTTTTGAGCTAACTTTATAAATATTCATATCTAGTGACATGGCCATGTACATTGTGTTTATGTATGTTCATTTTGGAATCACTATTAGCCTGGCTCCGTGGACTGATCCTTACGCAATGATCGTAGCTGTTCTGGGACATGCTGCGCGTTCATGGTAGACCTACTGCACGCCAGGCCAGCCTGGCTGCACCACAGATCCCACGTTCTATCAGAATCTCTGCTACTTTTGCGTCTTTTCCTCTCACAGGATTGCAAAACCCGTAGTTTTCCAAGTCTAGTTTTACGTGGTCGCAGTAATGGCAACGTCTACATGTACGCATCAGGCACAGTAAGTCTGAACAACTCATGCGTACAGTACCGGTACATATACGTTACTTGGAATGTGTGTTCATTATTCATAAACTGCACCGTCGCAAAAGCGCATGCGTAACTACAAAGGTCCCGCTGGCCTCAGATTCGAATTGAAGGTGTCCCGCTCCTAATTCAAAAGTTGAAATTAATTAATTGGTTACTTATCGTCAGCCGATTTTTGTGTGCAATATCTCATTGGAAAGCTCATAACTTATGCAATGCTAGAAAATATCTCTTCAATTTGAAAATTTATTTTTCGGGGTGCCACGCCCCAAAACACGTGTATACCAACTTTAAGCTCTTTGAAATCAACTTGACATCAAAGTTTACAGTATACATTGTACATCTACACCATGTACATGTACATCAGAAAAAAGTACAAAACCAGACAGTCTATTGCATTAAATGTGAAAGCACCACGTAGTTCAGCTGATTTATATTGTAGCATAGACCGACCGCAACAAACGCAATATCAAAAATATAGACTCGAACCAACAACCTGCAGAATTACCTGCAGACCACGAATTCAATGCCCCCAGACCACGAGGCCACGGCACTCCAATTCAAAGCAATTTCGCAGACAATTTTCAAATGCCGCCCTGTCCTTGTGCGGAATTTCACTAAGCACTTATTTTTTTTTTCATATATGACGCTTTGAAATGCAAAGATTTCCCAAAGTCCACTGATAACCTCACAAACTATTTACGGACAGCGTGGTGGTCGTTTATTCGTTCACAAGGTTCAAGATTCACGATCCAGCTACTGTTGCTTTTAAACCCAGGTGGTCGGATGCTGCCATTGGTCCCCTGCCTCCGTCGTCCACCAATGAGATGTCAGTCATTTGCATATTGCCCGGGAGCCTCACAAATATGTAATCAATCTAAATGTAGCAGAATGAGAGTGAACAAAACAGTTTCAAACAATATTCATAAATACCGGAGACAGTTTACCCATTCCTATTGGTCGAAAGCCCGTCACGTGGGTGGTTTTAAACGGATGATAAAACACAAGCTGGCTGGTTTTAAGCATTTTCCCGTCTCTTAAAAAAAGTGGATTTGTATCAATCATATTGTTTGCCTAACCAGGGTTAATAAAGATATTGTGTACTACAGTTGGTGACAGTTATTGAAACTAGCATTCTGTGTCATTTTCTTTGTTGTTCCAAACAGTCAGAATACATACCAAACTGCTTTTTTTTGACGAAACAGGTTTTAGGGTCATTGCGTTTAAATGGTGATATTCTTTGAACAAATTGAGCAATTTCAGTAATTTTTTTTTATCTAAAAGTAGCTCATGAAATTGGCTTTCCAGTCATTATGTTTGGTGCTACATATTTTTTTAAATATGAAATATATTTTTGGGGGATTTGGATTCTGTTTTTTTTGCCTCACCCTGTACAGTACATTGCAATTGAAAGTTAACCTGGGAATGGGAATTTTTTCTTCACACTTTTTCTCTTCCCGGGGAATTCATTTTCATTTCACAAAGTGTGAAAAACTATTCCGATGTTGGGAAAACATTTCACACTTTTTAACCAAGCACTGGAAACCATTTTCACACCTTTTCACACAAGTGGGAAACCATTTTCAACAATTGAACTCAGTGCCCCTCCTAGTGCACCAGTGTTGATTTCAACATGGGTTGGCGAGACAATAGTGGGAAAGCGCTGAATGGTCAACTGTTGAAAATGTATCCATTTTTACCCTTTCAGAGAGGTGCTCATTGAGTGTGCTGAATGTCAATCCTTCGTCTCTTGCCTCATCCTTTGCATAGGCCCGAGGCCCAACCCTGAAGTCAAAGACAAGGCACCAATTTTAGCAATCTGCTCAGAGATAGTGATGAACGTGACTGAGATTCCTGTTTTACATGTTATTACGAGCTAGATTACGAGTTAACCAGTTTATGTCGGATGACGTGTAGACAGTCTATACACAATCTTGCATGTGTAAGAACCAAGAATTGTGGATGGTTCTTGGTTGGTTCATCTCCTAAATACTCCGCTCCGCGTGGGAGTTTATACAGGAGACCAGAAACACCGGGGCAAACCCCTTCTCTTAGCGATAAGTGTCACTGGGTTCTTTAACATGCATTGGATTACACAACACACGGGACCTACGGCTTTACGTCCCATCCGAAGGACGAAGCAATAATGGTTAAGTGCCTTGCTCAAGGGCACAAGTGTCCACCTGGCGGGCTCGAACCCACGCCACTGTTGCCTCTGAAACATCAGAGCATGAGTCCCGTGTTCTTAACTGCTAGGCCATGACACTCTAGTCCATGACACTCGATGGTGCTGTGTGGGCTACCAGTGCCATTTACATGTACACACAGTACAGGGCAAACCATTATTAGACCAAACATTCTGAGCAATCTTTTTCTGCACTCGCCTTGGTTCCGTTTTCTTCACCAGCCAAGCACCTTGAAGTCCCTCTGTCTTGACACCATTGATCTCCAGCTCACCTTGAAGAAATCTGTTCTCAAAAAGCCAATTAATCCGAAGCAGCACCATTTAATTCTATCCTAAGGACTTCAATTTAATTTAATTCTATGTAAAGTTTAATTCTATGTAAAGTTTAAAACCAAAGTATTTGTTAAAGGTAGAGTGGACCATTTGCAATACATGCCAAAAAGTAACTGAACAAATTAACAGCTTACTTGGTTTAAAGATAGTAATGACACTAAACTCCCTGTAAAATTTTAAGTACCGACAGCTCAAAATCGCTATACCGAACGATCGCTATTACGAACATTTTCTGTGGATCCCGCAATGTTCGTTATAGCGGCATTCCACTGTAGTACAATGCACCCATGCATGCTCTATAGTGGTAAGCCCGGTTCATACTACACGCGAAAGCAAGTGCGAAGCGAAATTCATGTTGTCAACAATGGTGGACGTGCTTCGAACGTATTGTAGAGGTCACGTATTTCGCTTCGCTTTCGCGTGAAGTATGAACCGGGCTTAAGACGTTTCACTATGTAAATGGGGTTCAATTTACAACAACCAATGATTTAGATCCAGATCTCTTCACAGAGATCTGTAGGCATACCTTATGGCCCTGCTCTGGGGATGGGCATTCAGGTCACCAATCAGCACCGCCGGTCCAGGAAACTTGGTCATGTGATTCCAGATCTCCACTACGCTCCTCTCTCTGGCTGCCTCACTCAGAGATAGGTGGGTCAGAAAAACATGAATCTGCGGACAAGATAACAAAAATGAAAGAAAACTGTTCGGTGAAAAAAAAAATGTTCAGTGTTGTGTGAACAAGGCATCAGGTGTAAGTACTTCTAGCAGCTTTCGGAGTTAGGGCCTGTAAACTCGGAAAGAATACAGCACTTATAGTGGTACACTCTCTTATCTTGTTAATCCCTTTGTTAATAAACTGGCCCCTGTTATCAGATACTGCTGCTAATCCCCTGCACTTGTCAATAATTACCATATCAGATGTGTGACAGCACATGGGGCTTTATTACACAAAGTGTTAGGGATTAAAAAGCAAATGTTTGGACAAAGGATCTATGGTAGATTAGAGGGCTGGCCAGTTTACAGTTAGGTTGACTGTTTTCTCTCAGAAGTTTCTAGTGGAGGTTACTCGCAATGGAAACAGTGGCCTCGATATGAGAGGAATTAGTTATTGAGTTGGGGTGTGCATTTATGTGAACTGAACTGAACTGAAAAAAAACCCCGGGTACCTGGGTACTCATTAAGAAAGCCAACCCCAAAATTTAAATCTCGGAAGTTGCTGTGCCCATTGTTCATAAAGGTCCGCATCATAATACTACCACATCTACCACATCGGTGCGTCAATACAACAAGATAAAGTTGTGAACAGTGAGCTCAATACATGTAACTTTACCGTGTAAATTGCACTTTTGCAAGCCTTATGAATGTGAATCTGTTCTGCTTTTTCGTGTAGACTGGTTTTCAATTGAGAAACTCTCCACAAATGACATTCAAATCCATTCTTATTCACCGTCTGAAAAGTTACTACATGTGACTTACAAAGGAATATGTTAAGTTGGTCACAGGTACTCGATTCCATAGTCTTAAACTGGTTCTTGACATCAGCGGTCAAGTAGTTGGGTACCCGGTTCCGATGCATAGCACTTTTATTGAGTTTCAAATACAGTGTACAAGTACCCATAGGTTGGAGACTACTAGACCTACATGTACATTGTACATTTACATGTACATGGATCTATTCTGATGAGACTACATGTACATGTACATGTGCCCGTACATGTACAGTCAGGATTTCAACATAATTTACAACAGCCAATGTATCGGTACATGTAAACCCAGGGGCCTAAGAGTGTACAGTAAATAACCCTGACAGAGACTAAAATCTTGATTAATGAAAGCAATATGAGTTCTGTGACTTGTCATGGATGCAATTAAGAAACACAAAGACAGAGACAGAGTAAATATAAGGACTCCGCTGGCTAAGTTTACTGTTGTCATCATCATGAATGTCAAGTGTTTAATGTTTCCAAAATGATCCAAACCTATGACAGACTGATGGATCACTCTGCCAATTACACAACTGCGCCGCATTTCCAGTGACATCAAGCTGATGGATATAAGCGAGGCTTGTGAACAAAACCCAGACAGAGTGCTTGTATGTGGATGGCCAGCAGCTGCACCAAAATCGGGAGTTGTGAACTTAAAGACACTGACTTGTGGCATCTTCAACTAAAACCCCTGACAGACAATCCATAGAAAGTGGACTGGTTCAGGTTGTGCAAGGTTCTACTGCCAGCAAAACTGTGCTGCAAACACTGAATATTGCTTGAAATTTTGGGTTTTTTTGAAGGTCCACCTAAGAAACAGCCAGAGAATAACCATGAATACCACTGAAAGCTCTGTTGACACACTGAACCAGATTCTCTTCCCGTCACGAATTGCCACTATCGTTCTCGGCTCGGTGACCTTCCCAATATATTTATTTATCGTCTTTTCCGTTGCACTTAACAGCAGACTGCACAGCTTTTCAAACTACTTCCTAGGCAACCTGTGTGCCTCGGAGATGCTCATGGCTGCGGGTAGCCTGATTGTGGAAAGTTACAACTTGACTCACACTTACCCATATGCGTACAGCGCCAACACAACCTTTGTCCTTGACTTTGCAGATCTGACGATATATTCTGCCTACTGTTTCAGCTCAGTCATCATCCTGGCCGATCGGTACTTCAAGGTCTCTCGGCCGATGCGCTACATCCGTCTGGTGACGGGAAAGCAGTGCGCCAGCATCATCGTCATCAGCTGGACTCTATCTCTCATTATTGGCGCCCTTGAGTTTCTCTTCTTGAAAGTGACTTTCCCACAGGAGACCCTGGTCTTGGAAGATCAGGCCCTGCGCAAAAAATTGCACAACCTTGAGGTCATTTTCATCGATGTTGTTTCCGTTCCCACAATTGTAGCAATCATCATTTTGATAGCCGCATTGCTGCACATTGTAAGGCAGCACCAGCGGAAAATTCGTGACTTCAGGAACATGACGGTACATTTAAGGAAAATTCCCAGCAACCAGCAACAGCAGCAGCAACAGCAGCAGCAACAACAACAAAAGCAGCAGCATGGTGCCAAGCAAAGCAGCAGTCCTGACAGTAGCAAGGGAGAAATTGTGTCTGTGAACAGTGATTCAGCCCAGGCAAACCCTCATCACACCACATGCAGTGACAATGATAATCAGAAAGGACAGCTGCAACCTCAATACCAACAACAGGCTCAGCAGCAGCAACAGCAGCAACCAAAACGGGAAGAAGAACAGCAGCAGATACAACAGCGAATGGAATGGCAAGACAATCTACAGCTAGATAAGCAAGGACAACAGCAAATGCAACCTCAGCGAAAAGAAGAACAACTGCAACGACAGCAGCAGTTGACCAGACCAAATGACCAAGAACAACCAGAGCAGCATCGACGAAACAGAAAGCCGTCGCACCCCACAGACAACGGACCTCGACCACAGCACAAAAAGACTCGCTACTTCTTGGTACACTTCTGCACCTTGACAGCGTTTTTAGTTGCCCAATTTGTTATCTTGAACATTTTAAATTTTAGCAAGGACCCAAACGAATCTGTGCTCTACAATCTTCTGAATGCCACCTTTCGAATTGTGATAGCCCTCCAAATGTTCTTGGGAACTTTGTGTCTGACCTACATGCAGTATGAACACCGCCAAGTGCTTTACAGAATCTACAAGAGACTCTGTAAGAAATGATCCAATTTGATGAACAATTGGAAGATGAAACAGGCTTCAGGCGTTTCATGTACATGTACAAACAGCTGTTGGGTTATCAGCTTTATGGTAGACAATGTAAGAATTATATATCTTAAACCCTCCTGCTGTCTGAACAGTCACAGACAGTCAAAAAATCAATCCCGTTCCCTGCTCTGGCTTTTACACAGGATAGTCACCAACAGTCAGATCATATTTCAAGCAAGCACTGTGACTAGTCAAATTCAGTCAACCGACAAAAGCAGGCCAAGGCTTCATCAATCACCTACACGTACATGTACATGGTACATACGGTCAAAGCATAGCTGTATGAAGTTACATAAAACAGTCGCAGCCAGTCAATTCTGCTTTATGTACCGGAAGGCTGGGAGCTCTTAACTGTTAAAAATAGTCACTTGACTGATTTTGACTGAAAGGACAACTTTGCACAGAGTGCATAGGAGGGTTAATGCTAAGAATTGTCATCATCTGGAGTTCTGGACTCACTCAGTGAACTACATATGTATCACAGTGTAAGATAGTATACAAATAAAGAATGTTTGCGTGTGCAATGGTAAGAATAATTTCATTCGGTGACAGATGAAATGTTCCATTCCTCGAGGCGAAGCCGAGTGGAATGGAATATTTCATTTGTCACCGAATGAAATTATTCTTTCCATTGAACGAACGTGAAACATTCATTAATTGTTTTATATAACACCTGAATAAATCCTTGTCATCTGATTGGTTGACTTTTAATAGCCAATTTATTCAGGTTAAAAACTGTTTAAAAGTTCGACAAGTTCATCATATTTTATTAATGCAAACTGTTCAACAGGTTGAGAACAATCATATTCAATTCATGTCGATTTAAAACAGCTCCACTACCAGCAGCAGTGACACCGTGCAATGGAAGTTCTATTCACAGTGCAATAGAACTTCAATTGCACTGGGCGTGCCGTGGGTGGTTAGTACGAATAATTCAATGACATGTGATCAACGATCCACCAATCAGATGACGGGAATTTATTCAGGTGTTGTACAAAAGATAATATTTAATCTGATGAAAATTGCATCCCCTCCAAAAACAGTGTATCATTTGTCATTTGTGCATTTGTTTCGTTTGAAGCAACAAAAGTGCTCAAAATGTAAAGAAGGGCGCTTAACAACTAACCTGATGAAGTTTTAGCCCAGTGAATGCTGTATATTCCGAGAAAACAATATTCTAGGATCTCAATTTTTATTCAAAAGTTGCAGAGTCATGTTTTGAATTGCGCCCGAAATCAGCATCTGGGACACGTTCTCATTCAGAAGATTACAGCTACATGTATGCAATGTCACGCACTGAACCGACGAATTATAGCAACTGCGTGCGTGTCTGCGTCATGTCAACACTTGCGCACACCCATTCCTTATTACCGGTATTTCAAACTTTCTTCGGATTCATGCCACCACTCTAAAAAATTCTGCCACTAGTAAAATAATGAAGAAATTCATTGACTTCAAACACAAAGCTGTGAGGGTCTTGTATCAACCTTGATAAGTTGTGCAATAACAGGTTCTATGATGATCTCGATTTGCGGGTAAAATAGGACATTCTGAGTTGCTACGCCACAACTTACGCCACCTAAAATGATTGCGCAAGTTACGCCATAACATATTGTGCAAGTCACGGACTTATGCGATATGAGACTTTTGTGAAATGTGTCATAAGTGACGTGTTGCGCAGCGTGAAAGTTGTGCAGCTTACGCAATAAATTGTAGCGCAAGCGGAGTTGTGCCATCACCTCAGGTTTCGTGAAATTGGCTGCTGGGGCTTTAGAGTGTACAGCAAATAACCCTGACAGAGACTAAAAACTTGATTAATGAAAGCAATATGAGTTTTTGGACTTTGCCATGGATGCAATTAAGAAACACAAAGACAGCGGCAGAGTAATATGGACTCCGCTTGCAAAGTTGACTGTTTCCATCATCT